GGCCGGGGGTGGGCGGGAGCAGGAACTGCTTTTAAGAGTGAGTTTTTAATCTTTGTGTCCTTTGGTATTGAACACCTAGCGGAAATTTCAGCCGTATTCTGACTTTTTGGGGGGTAATGTAGTGAAAGCGGAGCCTTTCTCAACGTCCCTCATCACTGCCCGCTTCTCCCCGTGTGTTGAGCAACCCGGTGCTCTTTAGGAAGGTAGATGGCCTTGGAATAAGGCGAACAAAAAAATCCCTTTGTGGATAAATATCTGATTAAGAGGTGAGGAACAGGAAGGAGGAAAAAATGGTCTCTTTTATGGGTGTGTGGTGGTTAACGGAGCCCTGTAGGTTCCGTGCTGGGCTTGTGGTGCTGGTCGGTGTACCCACAAACGGTCTGGGCCAACGGGTGGCTCGGAAGGGACTCAGGTGAGGCGGCTGTGGTGGTGTGAGGAACCCACAACACTTTATTGTCATTTAGACAATTAATCTCTCACCCCATGACCCCGTGAGGTGGTTGTGGTGGTGTGAGGAACCCACAACACTTTATTGTCATTTAGACAATTATTCTCTCACCCCTTGACCCCTCCCCAACCGGGAAGGGGAATCGGGGAAAAACAAGGAAACCCAAGGGTTGAAATATAAACAGATTTAATGGAATAATACTAAATGGTTAACATTAATAATACTAAAGAACCAATATTGATCCTGAAACCAATATGAAGTATACGAGGACTATACTCAGGCCGTTCTATCCGTAGAAGCTGTGCACTCCCAGCCGGGGACTGCAGACATGGAACACTGTGAGCGCTGCGGCTTCAGGAGGAAGGGAAGGGCTCAGGGCTCTGGCGCCGGGACAAAAAGTTCTCAGGGTCGCAGCCATCAAGGGAGATGAAATAACCCTGTTGGGCAGGTTGGGTCAAGTGCCCGGGTCTCGCTCCTCCTCATCCCCACACCTGGCAAGCTTGAAAACACTGAGACCTTGAAACCTGCGTACCATAGCTGGCTATAAAGGAAATATTTTCACCAGTTCAGACACTAGAGTCTTCTAAGAGCGCAGTTTTCCCTAGCATTAGAAAAGACCTTACTGCAAAGTAAAATAACTGAAAGAGAAAGTGATCCTGTGTTGCTCAAACCAGGACAGGCAGAAATACACGAAACTACAGGGAAGTTTTAACAGTGGTGGGTGACCAGACTTGGAATTGGAATGATGCGTACAGATTTAAAAAATTGCAAATACATTAAAAGAATGAGGAGCTTTGTGCTGGTTATTGCTGCTTAGGAATGAGCACCTGGACTTGGGTAATTCTGTGAAAATATCAACTCAGCTTTTCACAATAGGAATGAGAAAAGTGAATAAAATGATAGAAATTATTAAGAAGCAAATCTGGTAAAAGCCTTCCCTGTACACATCTGGGTTACTTTCCATGTCTCAGATACTGTGCTCAGGGTCGCTGTTCCTCCCCATCTCCAATAAAAAAAGAGAGTAGAACAAGAAAATGTTCAGTAAACTGAATCTCCACTTTAAAAAATCGTTTATTAAGGAGACGGGAGGCAGCACAGGTCTATGAAATCCTGCGTTGTGTCTGGGGAAGAGGAGTGAGGAATGTCTCCTCTCCAAGAAACTGGAAGTCAAAAATAAAAATGCTTCCCTGTGTTTCTCTTCTGTGAAGGCTTGATTTTTGATGGAAAGTAAGAAAAAAGTATAGAATGCATTTATTTTCCACAGACTGGGTGCCTGCTTGCCCCTGACCTCTAGGTGATAATCGTAGGTCGAAGTTTGGTGCCTGCTGTGTGATGGGATGTCACTGCACTCATGCACCTGCCGACTCTGGTGGTTCCCCAGGAATGACTTTGTTCTAATTAACTTTATAAATGTTTTCTAGGAAATGTTTTTGACGTTTTCCAATATGATCTCTAATTAGCATCTTAAGTGCTTGAGGTTTGGTTTTGTTTTTAGAAGGTAATGGTCAATTTCTAGAATCCTAATAAATAGCATTGAGCCTATGGAACAGGAATGTACCGTAAAATGAGTGGGTTTAATTGACATGGTGATTAGAAATCTCTGTCTAGCTATGGCCAGGGAAGAGCAGCACTTGGCAGGGCAGAGTTTGTCTAGCAGCAACGTTGCTATTTTTATGCCCTCTTTTGGGATTTGCCAGTTGTCCTTTCTGATTATTTTGTGGAGTAGATCTTCAAGAAACCTT